GCCCGCCGACGTCATCGATCGGTCACTGATATGAGCGCAGCTTTCGCAAGTTATTCTACACCAGCGTCATGTGCTGAGCGACTCGTTTTTGAAGATATCTACTGCGATCATCTTCACACAATTCTCAGATCTGAACAAGCCAAGAGGTTATCAATAACAATAGCTGGAATACGCCAGTTAGCACGTTAAACCACCAAGATGTCATCCTCAGCGCCATCTCAACCACCCAAGGCCGAGGCCTATACCACATCCTCGAACCCAACATCTCGCAACCCTGCCGAGAACGCAGACGCACAACAGAGCGAATCGAGCGCACGCGACGCAGTCCTCGGTCGCACGCCATTCCCGCAGTCGCAGTCGCGGTCCGCCGACGATGCGGTGCCTAGCTCCCTGGGCCAGGGTGTGCATTCCTCCGGCCCCGTCGATGCGACGGAGCAGCGCAACACTGCATACAGCAGCACAGGCGCAAGCCGGGGGCCGGAGAACCCGAACGTTGAGGCCGAGCAGATGGAGACTCTGGCGGAAGGCAAGGTTGCGGATGCCGTCGATCGGAAGAGCGGGGCGCAGAAAGTCCCCGGGCAGGACGTGCAGTTTGACGATTACGCAAGTGGTCTCGAGAAGTGAGTTTACTTGATGACTACAGGATCCCAGGATGTCGCTAATGATGGGCAGGAAGAAGCAAGAGCAGCAAGAGGCAAGGCAAGCTGTAAAGGATGCCAGAAAAGAGGGCGTCGACGTTGACGGCGGAATGGGGCAAAGAGATTGGAATGAAAGTGGCAGAGATGTCTGAGTAAAATACTTTGCCCAGAACTTCAGGAATGAGAGCCGGAACATGATGGATGCCACTGTCACATCGCCAGCGAGAATGAGGGGCAATTGAGTTTGAAACCACAGCAAAGTCAATCGGACCATCCCGGTCGCATGTGCTAGACGACAAAAGTAGTAAATGGTAATCGAAGACCAACAGCAAAGCAATTTGAGAACAAAGTCTACAAAAATGCAAAAGAATTGGTTCTCCCCTTCCAGAATCGAACTAGAGACCTTTCGATGACAATGAAACCATTACAGTCGAACGTGATAAACCAACTACACCAAGGGGAGTGACGGGGCTGAGCCCCGCTCGGTGTGATTTGTTGAGCAAACCGCACAATTCACACAATAAGTACCACTACCTACGCCTAGGGCATCTCGCAAATGCCGCAACTCCTCACTGCTTTCCGCTCTCATTCTCTGCGCTTGCACCAAGTGGGGGAGCACAAAGTGAGGGGTTCCATTCCACTGCGTCGCGAGTCCACCCGCGGAATGCACAGAACCATTTCCCCGGCCGGATTCAGACTCGCCTGCAGCCCGCAAAGCCAGCACCTTGATCTCCAATTGGGTGCGGATTTCCCAACCGGTTCCGATGCTCCATCGAAGCCATCACCTTAGAAATGGGCGTGTAGCTCAGTGGTAGAGCGTCCGCTTTGCATATCCTCAGCGATGTCTGCGGAAGGTCCAGGTTTCGATCACCTGCCCGTCCATCCCAGTTCATAAACCATTATGGTCTGTTTCTTTTGGCTTTTTGCTACCTCAAGCATGATATTTCGCAACATAATACTGCGTGGGTGACGATTACTCAGCCAAATCAATTGGAGTCCGGTCCACTTTTCGTTTTTCCATCCGTGGACCGAGATCCATGGATGTCAAAGCTACTTGACGGGGCTTGATAAGACAGATGCTATCCATGGATCGATGATAGGTGTATCTTAATTGCATCCTTTATCTTACCGTAGGTGATGCCCTACGACTTGAACCCAGAAGCATATACAGCTGTGACAACCACAACCCAATTGAAGTCTGGCGTTAAAATCGACTAGAATACGTAAGTTACCTCAGGTTTGGGAGATATTTTGTGCCGATGAATGCGTCAATCATCTGGGATGCAATTTTCACTAACGGTTCTGGGTTGTAGGACGTCGCGCGTGTTAAAGCATTCCCTGACTTCTCAAGGCCAGCAAATACAAGTTGATTAGTGAACGCCGACAAATGCTGATTTACCAAACAGGCATTTCAATATTTGAAAGACTCAAGCGAAATGCAGTTTCATAGGAAGTTTTCTCTTTTGTCTGTATCTGCTCTGTTCTTGATTGGCAACCTCATATTTAGCCCATAGACTGTAGCCCTCCATTTTGAGATAGTCTGTCTTATTCACGGTTTACCCCCCTTCTTGGGGCCGTTGACATTGCCATAGTGGGCAAGATTATACACAGCCACATTTCCGCTATGGCCGTGATCTCCCGGATAATAGGTGCCCGTACCCATGCCGGGAACTTTCACGCTGGCACGATGTTAGATATAAGTCATCTTGGTCAATGGAGAGCGATGGAAGATCCAGCAACTCCATTACAACGGTACGGGCGGGATAAAATATGGGAGAAGAGAGACAACGTACTGGATGGGCTTCCCATTGTGCTTCTGCTCGGCGACGGGAACCGCAGCTGCAAATGGAACAGCGAGTAGGAAGAAGAGAAGACTTCGAGAGTACATTGTTCTTCTTCAGAAACGCGCTTTTGTTAGAGATCTTGTTTCTCGGAGAGTTGTCAGAGCCGTGTGATCTGCTCACTCGTTTTCATTTTGGGGGCAGGAATTCACTCCTCTTTATGTGTTTATCTGTCAAGGTCAATGAGAGCGTCCACAACACACCTTGTTCATCGTTGCTAGATCTCATTGCGTCGGAAGTTACCATCGGGCGTTAACACACGGAGAAGTTTTCCCTTTCGGAGTCCTTTTGGAAGGAGGATGCGGGAACCTCAATTGAGTTAAATCGCAAGATGCTTTCAGTAGTGCATACGCTTTATCATGCGCAAGATAATCATTGTGGGCCAGCGTTTTCTCTCCGAACGAATGGTCTACGGCTAGGCGCGATTTTAGACTATACTATTTATCCGGCGGGCACAATTGGACCTACATATGACCCTGACTTACGTTCGAAGCTTGCGCAACGCCAAAAGAGGCCTCGGTGAGGGATGAACTTGAGTCAGGGAACCAAAGGTCTGCTAGGCTTCCTCAACTTTAGTAACCTTTTGTAGTCGTAAGCAGCTCCCAACTGAAACGCGACCTGGCCAACGACTAACCAAATACACGCATGAGTGCTCCGGGTTATTTTGCATAGGCTCTGAAATCCGCATAGTCCGTACTCTGTTTTCCGAAATACTCGCAACAGTATACACACGTGTTCGGGTGATTCCTCTTGTTCCTCTTGTCGCGCCCGTTGACGAGTCATATTACTGACACATGATCAGACCAACTAGCAATACTATGGGTTAGTATTGCTACACTCAAAGAATGAGGTTTTCCTTCTTCCTTTTCAACGTAAAATACCTCAATCCACGTCAACGCGCTGGGAATAGGGTCATCTCTCATCTTCGTCACATTCAGGGCTGCGTGACCTCAAGCCGCAGTTTTATCTGGCCACCGCCGAGTAAAAGAATTGACGCCCAGCACTTATGAATAGAGATTCAAATGCCGAACTTTGTGCCCGGCATATTTCAGTCGTCAAATCAGGGTGGATCTTAAGGGCAAGCTTGGGCACTACACAGAAGAAGGGCAAAGGTTCAAGTCATTCCATATCTCAAGTAGTTATGATCAGTTTGTAATTTCGGTGAAACCGTATTTGGATATTTTAAAACGAATGTTGGGGATATGATTTTGGAAGGTACATATCACATCAGACCACACTGGGCTGGTGTTGGTACTCGACCCCGAATTTCCCAGGAGCCGGGGCTCTCACGGATGAAGGTGTCACCTACCTTTCTCCACTTCCGAACCCTCGCGCCCTTCTTTTTCAACCCTTTGATAATTCTATTTATAATCGCTTCGTTGGCAGCAATGATGCTATTTCTACTCTCCCAGATTTTGGCACGCAGCCTTAAAGCTACTAGAAGAACAGAAAATCGACACAACTGTAATAAGAGAGGCCTTTCCGGGAAAGGCTCAACGTATTCGATATATGCGTTTGGATCTGCACCGTGTGCTAACAAAGTCTCGAGGATTGGGAACAATTCATCTCTTGCAGATAACGCGGACCGTGTCGCATACCAGGCATGTTGCCAGGGACTGCATCCGTTGAACTGCTTATTTGGATTTGAGCCATGCTGCAACAAATCCGCAACGATCCGCACATCTAGGCCCCTTACCCAGACAGGAGCTGCTGTTGGCGCGCAAGCATAATTGAGAAGCGGTCGACCCTGTTTGTGAAGAGATTGACAGCCTCCATTCTGAAGTCTGGCTCGGACGTAGAGCCGCAAACCATAACGGACAGCGAATGCGAACAAGCTGTCGTTGCACGCAGCGCCTTCAGTCGGGATGTCGTCGAAAGTATCCCACCAGCTCAGTCCGCATCTTGTCATCAGTGCCGTCTCCAAAGCATTCATCATGTCTAGCTGGTCTGTCCCACACTCAATCTCCAGAGTGCGAGCGATTTCCAGGGCAGTTGCCACAATGTCCCAGGGCACGCCTTTTGAGGACGATGATTTGCGGCTTCGATATGAACCACTTTTAGCCTGCATGACCAGACTTTGCAAGAGTGCGGCTTCAACGTTGAAGCTCTCGAGGGCAAGAATTCCATCCCACACATCTTCTTTCGACAAGTACTCTTTCACGGACCGGTGTATAAATTGCACCTCTGGATCATACCAGTCATTCCAGCTGTCCATGACAGCGGAGCTGAACTCATTCTTGGCTTCTGGTGCCGGCTCCATAAGTAGATCAGGGTGAACCTGCTCAGTCGAGGCTCTAAGCTCGATCAAACCAGAGCAGCATATCCTCATCTGTGCCTCGATTGAACGAATTTCTTCAAATGCCCTTTTTAGAGTAAATTCACCAGTCTGGGCTTGGAGTATTGCTTTTGGTTCAACAAGAGCAAACTTCAAGCTCAATGCCGTCAATGGCCATTTGACTGTGCCATCCATACAAGGTTGATCCTTGGATTGGAGCTCCGAAGTGCCTCGTATGAGCTGAAATTATTTCGACATTGTCGATTTGTATCTATGGGGAACTCGCTCGAGCATGACGCGGAATAGATCCTCGAGGTCGGTTGGTAGCTCGCGCAGCCTTTCGGTCAACGCACCTATCTCGTCATGATTTTGGAAACCTTCGAGGAGAGATCTAACGACCACTTTGACCCAGAGAAAGACCCCTTGAGCGGCTTCCACGATCTCTTCAACAAGATTGGCTGACTCTTCCGGGGCCCGTGATATAAGTTGAAACATCCTAGGATGATTCGTAAGGTTTTCGTTCACATACTTGACAACATCACTATGAGTTAAATAGTGAAGCCTCAATTTTGAGCAGTTGATGAAAGCATCCTCGAATGCGTTTTCGGGTCGGCTGGGCAGAACAGCTTTGAAAGAGGGTGATTGAGCAGCGGCTGTGAACAACGCCGCGAGCTCCGTGAAACTTGTACCAGCGTCAAACTCATCGAGTCCATCGATGAGGAGAACAATTCTTATAGGAGCCCCGGAAGAGTCCGTGAGCCCTGGCGCCGTCAAGCAAGAGAACGCCTGTTTAACTTCTGGTATGGTTGGGGAATGGTGCTTGTCAATGCGTCGCAGTAAGCCGGCGTCAAATATCTTCTCGGCAAGCTCGGGGCATTCCTCAAGAGCTTGAAAAATAACAGATCTGAGCAAGCCTTCTAGCGAATTTTGCAATGGCGTCCCTGGATTCCAGAAGTAGAATGACAATACCAAAAGACGGCCACTGGCGCACCAGTCACGTAGAGAGCTGCGAGTTCTCGCATCAGTACGCAACAACTTCATGAGCGTCGATTTACCCGACCCAGCCTTTCCTGAAATCCAGTATATTCCGGCACCGTGTTGCATCCACTTCCGGAAGTTTGTCCATGTCGCTTTGTTTGCTCCTGTGGGCGGCTTCCTGTAAATCCATTCGAAGGTGCCTTTGTGAGCCGGGTTGATGTTATGGAATCGGTCGCTTTCTTGGGAGAAATAGAGAGAGTCGAGCAAACTATCCAAAACCAATCCCTTAGACTTCAGATTTCCGTCTCCTTCTGCCGTTGGGGGAGGTTGCGGTCTCACATCAGGCATATCACGAAGAAGAGAGACAAGCTCAGTGTGTCGCTCATCTTGGACGGCAGCATACTCTTCGTGAAAGATACGTAGACGCCTTTCCATAGCGCTATTTGCGTCCTGACCTGCCTTGATCTCATTGAGGAGGAACTGGGTCTGTGTATCAATCGCTGTCACGTCGGGGATCTCGTGGACCTTTCTGGCCATAGGAACTACCATATCGAACAGAATCTGTCCGCGAATCGTCTCCAGCCTCGCCTTTTTCTCTTCGATCCTACTATGGCTCCACACCGTAAGAGCTGCGACTTTGAGCTTCGCCACGAGCTTACTCAAACTCCTGATCGAAAGTTCCTCTGCGAGACGCACCAACTCCTTTGAAAGCTTCTGGCACTCCTCCACAAGGTTTTTGAAAGCCTGCCACGATTCTCAGTTTTACTGCAAGAAAGCATTGTTGAGAGATTATCACCTCATCGTCGTTTCCAGCCCACGATTGAGATGCGATCTTCGCGTTCGATGCTTGAAGGCTGCGGCTGATGCTGACAATGTCCCGTGTGGCGGCCGACGAGCCCGCTTCCTTGACTTGCCCCAGAGTCTCAAGGAAAGACTTCGAGATGTCAACGGCCGACAAGACATTGACAGCTAGACTCAATGCTGATAATGGGTCCATTGCGCTGGGTGGGTACTGCAGCTTGCGATGTTGGACGGATGCGCTGACGGCGAAGAAAGCCCAGCTGCCGCGAGGTGGGAGAGGAGACGACGAGGATAAGCAGCTGAAAAGATTTGGGCTGCCAGTGTCAGGTGATCACTTGTTATTGGATGATAACAGGAAAATGAGAAATGTTGCAGGGTTCTGAGGTATCCGGCCAATCGCTACCTAGGTTGTGATAACGTCCCACACCCACTTCTCGGCCACCCCCACTTCTCGGCCACCCCCACATTTCGGCCACTCACTTTTGATGCCCTCACATTTATACACATCAACTTCAACTAAAATTTATATGTATTATGATGCCACGACGATGCAACTTTCGCTGTCACTAGGGTTTTCTGACTCGCTGGATTCATCTGTGCTACTTTCAAGTTCGCCCGCCTCGATTTGAGCCCTCCGAATAGCCTCAATATCGGCAAACTTCGAATTTGGGCTCATCTTAACCTTCTTCCGTTTCCTGGCCCTACTGGCATCAACCTCTGCCTGTAGTGCCTCAATCTTTCGTTGGGCTACTGCCAGTTGGTATGCCTTCTCATCAAAGCCCTTCTGAACCTTCCGAAAAAGCAGGCGCTGCGTATGCTCATCGTTATCCAGCTTGCTGAATAGGCTGAACTGATCCTGAAGCTCATCCCTCTTCTGAGGGGTTGACCAAGGGACTGCTGATGTATCTACCGCCCACTTTTCGCTTGTTTTACCATCAGAGAGCCCTTTGCAGACCTGACCAGCTGGTTTAGCAGGGGTTGATGTGTTCTCAAGCAGCAGAGGGCTCATGAGGGGTCTAGCCATACTGACAGGCCACAAACCAGTCCATTTCCAGCCACTGATGATGTTCTTGCTTATCAGGGCTGCCTTACGCGCCTTACCATAGCATACAACGAAATTTCTCTTGCCCACAACTGTACCAGCATCCCATTCAGCTAGTAATCCAAGCTCCTTCTTGTATGCTGCCTTGAGGGGCCCAAAAACCGACTGATCAAGTGGCTGAAGGACGTGTGACGTGTGTGCTGGCAAGAACAGCAAGTGTATCTTGTTCCTGAAGCATGTATACATAAAAGCAGTAATCTCATAGCTTCTATGACCATCCAAGATCAATAATCTGACCTCTGAGGGGTCCCCTGGCTGGGTTGAAGGGATGAAGACCTCTGTTAACCACTTAACAGCTGTAGAGTCTGAAGTCCACCCGTTTTCTGTAGCTGTGAACTTCCAGAATTCGTATAGCGTCAGATCTAGAGGAAACCACTGCTGCTGGACATTCTTGCCCTTATATATAACAAGTGGAGGCAGTGCCTTGCCAGTTGCAGAGATACACTCGATCAGAGATGTCCAAGCACGCGATCCAGGCTGTTTCTTGCGGATAGAACGAGTTTCTGATGATCTAAGAACAAGCCCATTTGATCCTCTGCCTTCTAGAATACCAGTCTCATCCATATTGTATCGATTAGAGGCCTTGATGGCTATGATCTCAGGTATGGCGAGGTGCTTAAACCATTGCCTGATTACATTAGTTGAAGCTCTATTGATACGCTGGGAATCGATTGCTCTGCTTCTTTGGACCCTTACAGATGGGTTTCTCTTAATAAAAGACTGCACCCAGTTCTTTCCAAGAGGCTGGGAGTCTCCATGGACCTGTAGGATGCGTTCAGCAAAGTCCTTGAGTTGTTGATGGGTTGGAGGCAGGCCTAGGGCAGCCTGAATTCGAACCCATTCAGCCAGGTGGCTTTCCTGGGTTGGAGAAAGCCTTTGAAGATCAGAAAAGGCAATATCTCTTGCCTGGGTGCCATGGATTCGAGATTGGAGAGTTGTTCTTGGAACACCATACTGTAATGAAGCTTTTCGTAGGCTAGCACCAGCTGCGATAGCCTCAAGTGCCCGAGAAATTTCATCTTCTGTATACTGACGCATTCGGTAGTTATTATGCTTCACAGAAAGAATGGTGATGATTGAGTGAAAATTGGTAAATCTATTCAAGTTTGAAAATGGCGGTGAGTATTTTCGATGAGGCATTTTAGGGTGGCCGAAATGTGGGGGTGGCCGAGAAGTGGGTGTGGGACGTTACTTCGTCCACTCAGATGTTGAAGCGTGTGCTGCAGGAGTGGCTGAAGAGGCAGTACTGGAAGCAGGCAGGCTTGCCAGGCAACTATTGCCAGTTTGATGAGCGCCTTTACATAGGAACTCCGCCAGCAGTATAAATTCAAGCTCAAACCAGCCTTACATGGACCAACGAGAAATTCGAGTGCTTTAGATACCCGTTCGATACAGGTGTCTTCCGACCTGGACAGTCCGACTATGCTGTCGACTCTCTCGTGAAGCCGCCTCACCCTGGTCAGCGCCGCCGCGCCCGCATGTGGCTTTGCCACTCACTTCTGTTACCACAAAATGAGCAAAGAATACACTGGAACCAGCGACGATAGATCGAGATAATGATATTCCGCGTCCTTCAACCTTGGTACAGATCAGGTTGGGTGACGAAGTCTAGAACTACCGGTTGAGCAACCAACAATCATCCTTCGTGGCTATAATTGCGGTTCTCTGCGAGAAGTTTGAAGAAGGAACATTAGATCCAGTAGTTTATATGTTTGATGAAGATGTCAAGTCGGGCGCGACACCCGATGTTGAGCCCGCGCTGGTTTGCGTAGCAGGCATTGTGGAATGCCTCTGGGACCAGGTTTTGTCCAGCCTCAAATATGAAAGACAACGATAGTAAGGTAGGCACACGAGGTACACTGTTGTCACAGACGAACAGCCGACGGGCAACGGCAAGTATATGGGCAGAATTTGATTATTAGGTACATCCTATTAAAACGACAAGGCAACCAATTCCCTCCTCCACCTCGATGCAAATCTTCACGTCATGATGCAAGGCCCCTTCAAGGCCCGTTCGACTGCCCCTGATCTCTCGACTCGACATACCCTCCTTCACATCTGGGTATCAGCCGTTGAATCATGACTCTAGCTTCTAGCTTCTTCTCATGCAACGTATCATCGTCGTGATAGTGGTATCATGTACTCTTGTTCGCACAAACATGTCAACAAAATTTTGACACAAACTCGACAAATGCAGTTTCGGTATCTCAAAATTCAAATACTTCAGACCTTGTCATCCGCGCTGGTGTTGGGGGAACCCTCGCCGGTGCGGGTGTCGCCCGACAGGTTGGTGTTGGTGCGCATCTGGGAGCGGCTGCGGCGGCCGGTGGATTCGCCGGTGTCCTTGCGGCCGAAGGAGGCCCAACTCTTGAAGCTCGACATGGTAATGGTCTTCTTGAAGTCGCGGCCCTCGTCCTCTCCGCCCTGGCTGAAGGCGCCGCGGACAACCTTATGATCCTCGAGCAAGTGGAAGGTACGTTTGACGAACTTCCAGGCCTCGACACCGACGACATAGAGTATGGTGAAGCCGACGGAGATGCCCCACTCCCAAGTGATGCCAACGTGCTTGAACAACTTGGTGTTAAGCTGGGGAATGTAAACAACGGGGAAGACAGAGAGAGCGCCGAGGACAACGGCCCAGAAGAGGAACTTGTTGGCGTAGAGGTCCTTGAACAGGGGGAACTTGCTAGGGTCCTCAGGGTTCAGGCGGAACATGGAGCGGCGTAGGTTCTTGAACTCCCAGGCGGAGATGAGGATGATCCAAGTGAGCTCGGCAAAGACGGCAGCACGGGCACGGAAGACAGGACGGCACGCCTCGCTGAACTCCTTGTTGCAGGCAGAACCAAGGTTGCCGTCGTTGGCTCCCCAAACGATGATGACAAAGGTGCACATGGTTAGCGCGCCCATGATGATGCCGTAGACAACCATATCCACAAGAATCTGGTTGGTGAAGACACCGCGCTTCTTGTTTTGAGGGGGCTTGCGCATGACATCAGCGGCGGCTTCCTCACGACCGAGACCGAAGGCAGGGAAAGACGAAGTAACCATGTTGATCCAGAGAATCTCGAGAGGCGAGATGGGGAAAACGGAGAGAGAGTCACTGTCCCGGAAGGCAAGACCGCAAACCAGAAGAATGACTTCACCAACGTTGGAACTGAGCAAGTGGAGGATGAACTTCTGGATGTTGTCGAACATGCGACGACCCTGGCGAATAGCAGCAACAATAGAGTTGAACTTGTCGTCAGTGAGCACGATCTTGGAGGCAGACTTGGCGACATCGGAACCAGAACCCATGGCAATACCAACATCAGCACGAGCAAGGGAGGGGGCATCGTTGACACCATCACCAGTCATGGCCATGAAGGCATTGCGACGACGGAGGGCGTCGATCATGCGGGTCTTGGTTTCTGGAGCGCAACGAGCGATGACGAGAGGCAGCTCCTCAAGGGCATCAATCTCAGCGTCGCTCATCTTGTCAAAGTCGGTAGCCTTCTGAACAACAGCCTTGGCGATGCTATCGGGCAGGACGCCGAGGTTCTTGGGGATGATGCCGACTTCCTTCGCAATGGCCTTGGCAGTCTCGGGATGGTCACCCGTGAGCATGTGAACCTTGATACCGGCGGTGGAGCATTCGGCGATGGACGGCTTGGTCTCGCGGCGAGGAGGGTCGTAGATACCAGCAAGACCGAGCAAAGTAAGGCCCTGCTCAACCTCTCCGCGGAGCTCCTCTTCCTTCTCGGTGGGGACGGTAGACTGGTTGGTGGTGAACTTGCCGTTCCAATCACGGTAGCCAATAGCGAGAACACGCTGGCCCTGAGAAGCAAGGTTGTTCATCTGCTCAAGAACCTGTCCCTTGAGCTCCTCAGTAAGCTCCTGCTTAGCGTCGCCGAAGCCGAGATGGGTGCAAAGATCCAGGATACGCTCAACGGCGCCCTTAGTGAAGACCAGGCTGTTGTCGTTACCCCAGATGTCGGCAGTCTCATCATCCTGGGGAACATCGTAGATAACTGACATGCGCTTGATGGAACTGTCGAAGGGGAACTCAGCCAATTGATGCCAGCCCTTGCCCTCGAGGAACTTCTTGCCGAGCTTGA